CAAAATGTATGAAAATAGTATTTTTAGAATGTTTTTCAAAGTATCTAGCCCCGAGCACTCCCATCAAATATGGAGGTGGGATCCCTTGGTGTTGCTACATCTCCAACATTGATCTGAATAGTTATTGAACATTTTGCTTAATTTAGAGGGAACCAAGTACCACCTATATAATACTTTAAAATATAGCCCAATCACATTTTTTGACCCGTTTTATGCTTTTTTCCAAGATATGTGGCTCAAAGTTTTCTTAAAATATAATTCCCATTTCCGTATTAGAGGCTCTTTTACAAAGATATTGTTAATACTAAGACGTTTGCGTGATTGAGAAATTATTTTCTGAGGTTTATGATTCTCTAAAAAAACAGTGAAGTCATTATGGTCTAGAATTTGTTTGGTAGATAAGTAACTTTGCACTCTCAAATATGTAAACACTTCCCCTGGGGCAAGGTAATAGGTATTCTGTAGTAAATGGGAGGAGAGTAGGGCGCTCGTAGCGAAAGTCGGCTTTAAATTCTTATTTTTGTCCTAAGCTAAATAATAGGATAACATACAGGCTTCATGTAGTGCATGGATGTCAGGGAATCCCAGGCCTCCGTTTTTCCCTAATCTCTTAAGTATTCTTTGAGAAACTCTAGGTTTCTGCTGATCCAAATAAATTTAGCTTCCGGTATGGACTCAAAAGGGTTTGTCAGAGTCAGAAGGGCATCGTCAGCAAATAAAATTATTTTATGTTTCGTTTGGCCAACCTGAATGCCCTGCACTCATATTTTTGTCTGATTAGAGCCACAAGGGGTTCCATAGCCAGAATGTAGAGCATTGGAGCCAACGGCAACCCTGTCGCATACCGTTTTTTATATAGAAATATTCTGATTCCCTTGCTGGGCCAATAATCTTTGCCAGTATATAGAGTCATAATACTATATCTGAAGCTGCCTACAATGTCAAACTGTTGTAAGATTATATCCATATTTTGCCAATCAAGCCTATCAAACGCATTTTCAGCGTCTAGAGCCGAAAAGACGGCCTTAATTTATTTTGAATTGATTCCATGGATTAGGTTCAGGGACTCTCTGATGAACCCTGCCTGGTCCCCATGAATTAATGAGGGGATTATTTCCTTAAATCGATTAGTTAAGACGTTTGAATAAATCTTATCATCCAAATTTATCAAGGTAGATGGGCCTTTGCCTTCTTCAGGTATGGGTAGGATGAAAGCAAGGAGATATTCCTCAGGAATGTGTTCCTGTTTAGGAAGGATACAGAATACCCTCAATATCTATCTTTCCTCCCTTATACACAAGTATGTCCCGTCTAGGCACTTAAGATCTGCTGAAGACTTACGTCTATCTTCTGTCTGTACTCCAACCTCTGATGCTCGCCTTCAAGATTTCTCGAGGGCTGCACCGTTCCTGTGGAACTCGCTTCCCTCCTCCGTTAGATGCTCACCCAGTCTCCACTCCTTCAAAAAATAGTTAAAAACCCACTTCTTCATAAAAGCGTATCAATTAAACTGTTAATAGCTCCTGACTGATTCCTCTTCTGCAACTGTCACTAGTCTAATACTATCCTTACCTTTTTGTGTCATTTTACCCCACTTCCTCTAGCATGTAAGCTGAATGAGCAGGGCCCTCAACCCCTCTGTTCCTGTGTGTCCAACTTGTCTGGTTACAAATACATGTCTGTTCGTCCACCCATTGTAAAGCGCTGCGGAATTTGACGGCGCTCTATAAATATCATCATAATAATAATAATAATTGTCCTAAACAGATAAAATCGTACACTTAAATCTAGGTAATATATGACCTGAGTTCTGTACATGCTAAATATAAAAACAGTATGATGAAACAATAGGACTTTAACATTGCTACTAGTGACACTGGTATTATTTTTCATTAGCCTCTAATGAATAAACCGCTTTAAAAAAAATGCGCACGTAAGGGGCTTGGGCCTTTCTAAAAGTGTACTTGACTATCAAATCAGTATATGTGACTAGTTATATAGGGAAGCACCACTATTCTCCTCTCTAGGGAGTAACTCCTGCCACTGGGGAGTGAGACCAACTGTCTCCACTCCCAGTAACTCATGCTGCTGTTGGGGAGGAGGAGACAGCCACTGGAGGCAGACTTAGAGCTGCAATGTAAACACTGCAATTTCTCTGGAACTGCAATGTTTTACATTCCAGAACTAAGTGCAATAGTGATACTGTACCCAGACCACTGCAATAAGCCGAAGTGATCTGGTTGCCTACAGTGTCCCTCTAATTGCGGTTTAATACTGTAGACGGATGCCCTCAAAGGCATGTTAGGGACTTTTAGGGGCAGTTTCTCAGCGCGTATCATATCATACCGTACCAGTAAATGGCAACAGTATCTCCCCGAAGGATTGCACAACTCGGTGCTTATTTTGCTTCATACCAATCATGGCATGGATTTTCTTGTAAATCTCAGAGTGAGTATACACAGAGCGCTTAGAAAGACTTATTTTAGGCAGCATTAGCATGTAGCATACTACTTTGTTATGTGTGAGGTTAGCTTTAAATACTCACTTGTCATGTGGTAGCTCTATTACCCTTATTTCTAAGGGATTATTATTTTAGTTAGATAATTACACGATTTATTCTCAACCACACTTACTTTTTAATTAGGTTACTTATGTGAACCATAAAAGTTAGGTTCTCATTTTATTTTCACTGGTCACTTTGTTTTTTTTCTAGGTATTCTAATTAGCTTACCCAAATGAAAACACATCTTTGTTCCTGTTTTCAGCTTGTTTGAATCTTACATTAATATTTTATAACTCCTGTGTTTCCTCCTACAGCAGTTTGATGGCAGAGCTCAGGATCCAGGTAAGAATCCGTAGCTTTGAGATATAACTTTTTTTTAACACAAAATTGTTTCATTGTACCTAACTAAGCAATAAAAGAGCATTATGTTGGGTTACTATAACACAGATTATTTAATGTAGCTAACACCAGTAGATTTCAAATTGGTCTATTAAACATGCGTACAAGTCTTTGCTATGTTACACAATCATACACAACTAAAGTAACAGAACAAAGAGATAGATTCAGCAATCCCAGTAGCTGGCTTGAAAATGCTTGAAAAATGAACACCGCCACACCTTGGGTTTCCACATATCGCCATGGTAAATTGATGTAAAAGGCCTATGTGATACAGCTACTTACATTACGCTTCTCCTGTGGACACCCATAAAATTTTTAAACCCCTCATCTTCTGCATATCATTGGGCTGCAGTTCCCTTTTGGTAGAATATATATTAACTGGACCCCAATTTTATTTTAACCCCACGCCACCACAAATTGAGGAAAGAGAGGATAGGCTGCAGGAGTTTCCTACCCTCTCTATTATGGTGTAAGGGAGAAGAATTGACCATATCACGAGTACTGAGAATCCCCTGGCAGTATAAGGTGCTCTGCAATTATTGCTACTGTTATATGGATGATTAAGACATGATTACTATGAGGCAGTTCTAGGCCACCTGCTTGTATACATGGGTTTCTTGGGATCCATGTGTAGATCCCGTTGTTATAGGGGTAAGTGCAAGACTATTTAGAATGCTCCACTATATTGACTGGTGTGGGTTTCTGTACCACTCAGTTAAGTTTTATTTATTTAAAGTGTTGTGGTGTATAATGATTTTGTCCACCAGGGTATTTTTCCAGGTTTCCAGCTCCAATTCTGCCTGGTGCTCCATGTCAGGAGCACAGATTTGGCCTGGGGTATAGGGCCTTGAGGAGAGGCTGGCGCTGTCTGATTCCACATCCCCTGCAATCTTGGCTGCGCAGTCTGTGAAGGAGAGTGTTGTTTGACAACGGCAAATGCTCTCTTTTTGGCGTCCTATGCTATAACTATTTGACCTTTGGGTGCTTGTACAGCCAGCCGGAATTGCTCAGGAATTATTCAGAAATTAATTTTTGAGAGATTCTTAAGCTATCTTTTGTGGCCAGTCAGAATGATTTTGATGGAGTCCAAATTAAATATCATCTGGATTATTTAAGAGGTCATCAGAGTACACAATATAGATATATCCGAAAAATACAATACACGTGGGATTCAGCTGATATACCTAAAAAAATAATAAATAATAATTAGGTATATCAGCTGAATCCCACGTGTATTGTATTTTTTGGCTTGTTTAGACGCAACACTATTTGGGAGGTGTTTGATGGGAAGCTGTTTCTGTTTATTGATAAGTATATGTTTTTAATGTTGTTCTTTTGTTGTATTATAGAAATATCCAAGCCATTTACTGATTTAAAATATAAAGTGTGCAAACAGCAGGTTATGATAAGTCAGATTTCCTCTGTAACGACCTGCTATATTAACTAAATGTCTTTATTTCTAGTCACCGGGCGCGAGTACCTGTTTAACAGCCACACTGGAGAGAGACGCTGGCTATGAAGAAAACAAGAGGAGAAAATGGCACCCAGTTTTGTTCCAGTGTTTGTGATTCATTCTGCTTCTTGTTTTGAAACTCTGACAAATCATATTAGACAAATGTACACATTTTGTTGCAAACGTAATCATTTTGTATCATATAAATATATTTTATAACAGATTTCTTTTTTTTTCTTTTTTTAATTCTTTATTTTTGCTGTGCAGGTGGGTACAAGAAAACAGGCGCCACAACAGTGTAGTGCAAGATATACAATGGTTAAACAATGGCATGAGAGTCTGCACAATTTTATATTTTTAGCAAGCTTGCCTAACTATTTGTATCATTAGCATGAAGTTAAACGAAATACAGCAAGATAATTGATGCTTAACTTGTCTAATTAGGCATATGTGTGAGAACCAAAACAGTGAGCTTATTTTTGCCTTTAAAACAGGAGCAATGGTCAGCATCAAGACCCGATGTCTATAGGCTTAATTAAGTTTAACCACCAGGGGGCAGCAGAGCGTCAGACATACATGCAGGCTCAAACATTTTAATTGCTTTCTAACTGCAGGAAGAATCTGCTATAAAAACACACATCAATATGGTAGATGAGATACTAGACCAAGAGGTACACCACAGTCTATTATAGCTTTAGGCATAAATAGTTAGAAGCCGCTTGGTCCCTCCTGCAGCTGTGCGTTTAGCTGGTTATTTCACTGTGTGGGGGCTTGACAGTCAGGAGTGGAGCTTATTCCCCATTTACGTTGTTCCCTTGTATTCAGGCAGGGTCAGGGTCCAGACAGAGTCCCCTTATATCCACTTGTGTTAATGAGAGGTGATGCCTCTGTTGGTGTGAGTGCTATAATGCTGAGCTGAGCTGTGCTTGGCTTGCTTGTGGAGTATATCCCTTATACAGGTATCCTGTGGGTGAAAGGAGCACTCCGTCTGTCTGCTGTTGCCTCACTTTGTCTCACAATGAGCGCGGCGGCCATCTTAGTTTTTCCCCATGCGGTCCCCGGTCAGTCTTCCTGCCGCTTAGATGCCCTGAACGAGCGCTGCGTCCCCGATGGGGTCTGGGATAACCCCCCCGGCCCACAGGGGGGGGTAACGGGGCCCTTTGCAGGCGGCGGGAAGTCCTGCCGGACAAAGCACGAGAGATCGTCCGCTTCTCCCGCCAGGGCCTCACAGCAGGCCGCAATCCCCCTCGCCTAGCAGACCGCATCGCCAGCGGAGCGGGGGCTGATACTTGCCCCGAAGGCTGTTGGTCGGGTCCCCTTTGCCCTCTCACGGCAGCTGAGGGGTTTCCAGGTAAAGAAGGGCATATTTAAGCTGGTCTCTGCGATTTTAGCAGGGAGCCGAGGTGCTCCACGTCTACCCCGCTCGGCGGCCAGGCCCCGCCCCCTTATAACAGATTTCTAATAAAATTGTGTTATAAAAGCAATGTTTTATGCTTTTACGGATAAAAGGATATCTGAGACTGTTGCAAATTATGTTAAAGGGGCACTCCAGACCTATAAAGCACTTTAGCTTGCTGAAATGTTTTATGTGTGAAGAGTGTGTCCTCTTTTTTAATTTTACAAAAAGTGAAGATTTCAATATAAATTGGCACTTTTATAAATAAACCTTGCTTTAACCTCCTTGCTGTCAATTAGCCAACCGATCATGTATTTCCTGGAACTAAACTGAAGAGGCAGGCAATTGCTCAGAGCACGTGTCTTGCACAGTCAATGATTGGACAGCCACAGAAAGTGTAGGCTGGGGAAGAAGGGGTGGGCTTGCAAAGGCAGCAGACAAGAGATCTGCAGCTTTTGGAAGCTGTTTATAGATATGCCTCATTGCAAAAATGCATACATAATTGCACACATTTTCAATAGGGGTATATCTACTAAACAGGGATTTTCATTTCTGAAAAATGTTGGCAGTGTAGGTGTTCCTCTAACTACCATACACTGGTAATTGGTTTAAAGAAACAGTGCTTCACAATAACATGGGCTGTATTCACTAAACTAAGAACAGTTTAAGAAAGACAAGGGAATTGCAACTTTTAATCAAACATAGGGGAGCTGTAAAACAGCTGAGTTTCACACTATTGACAATTTAGCCATTTTGCCTTTCTAATTTCCTTACAATTCAAATTTTAAACCTTAAATATTGATATGAAAAGGACTGTATTTTCAGTACAGGAACCGTTCATGTGTACAAGTGGACACTGACTAATAACTGAGCATGCTAATTATGTTTGGTGCCTTTTCTGTATACTGTGTACTGTTCTATATAAAACTTACTCAGCATCATTTTAGTTGGATCATACTTTTTATTCTTATTTCTAATAATTATGGCATTTATTTAGTTAACATTGAGTTGTGATGAATCGACGACTAACTTGTAGAATCAAGGCCAAAATAGCTGAGTTGGAGAACAGAGAACAAATGTCAATGGTTAATTTTCACCTGCTGGTGACGGTCGCCATGTTATATTTGGATTCCCAGCTCAATGGATGGAATTTATCACAGTGTTATTGTCTAAAAAAGTATTCTAAAGTATTAAAAGTGGTGCAATCACTATGGAAACCAATAGAATTAGCAGGCGCGTTTCATTCATTTTTCCAATATCTTTTAGAAGACATTGAAACATCACTCACACTTACTCTGTGCAGACCTATCCTTTCAGAGAGTATCAAATTTAGGTACCAGTGGTAAAACGGTAAAATATTGAAATGTACCATGGATCTCTAACAGGTTTATCAAATAAGCTGGGAATCTCAGGAAGCTCATCAAGGAATGTAAGAGCTGGGCCAATATAATCTATCTGGAAATAAAAATCTCCAACTCAACGTTTTTTCCAGCTTGAGTGTTTGTGGCAAACCTAGCCACTTAAGACTATTCCTGTATATATGATGGTTGTCCTGGAAAGACTGTTTAATATATGTTATTTTATGTGTTCGCTTTAAGAGGTGATAGAGGGCATTCGTATGCTAGTGGCGCAAAAGCCGCTAGCATTCCTATGGCAGTTTCACGAACAGTGACTTTCAAAACTATTCGTGAAACGAACAAAGTACCGAATGGGAGACCACACACAGAAAGTCGTGAGGCTCGCATTAACAGATTGCAACAATGTATCGTTCCCTGGTTAATTGATTTGCAGGGTGTCCACCGTTTGGATACCGACCATGCGGCGGCGGCCATCTTGGATTCCCTTTTAGCCCAGCAGTGTTTGGTCGTCGAGTGCCTGGAACTAAAATCGGCTTCTCGATGGCACGAACACCGCTGGTCTTCCAGACCATTCTGGACCACCGGTCTTTCGTTACTTTCCTTCAAACTGTGCATCCGTCTATTTTCTTATGAGTTCATATTAAAGTGTATTTCGTGTGGCATTCGGCTAATTGTGCTGGGATCTGACCGGTAGTTTCCTGAAGTATGCGCTCAGATCCCAGCTATCTACCTATATGTCATTCGGTTAAATAGCACGAATAACGTGCAAGTTATAAATTTTTAAGTAAAAAGACTGGTTCTGCTGTACAGAGGGATAATCCACTTAACAGGATATTCTTATGGGAGTATCCCTCTCGTACAGCAGTGCATGGTGGGAAAATGGTCCTGTATGTTCAGTTCCCCATGTAGTCCCCTACTGTACAACCCCTGTAAAGTGATTAAGGAAACCCCTTGCATGGGGAACCACATAAATACTGTGACCTGTGAATAAAAACCTCAGTTGACTCTCTGCACTGTGTTTCATCCAGTTAATGGGGGATTTGGGATATTGCATTCATTCCGCGCTTTTCTTGAATTACTTTATTCTACCAGTGGAGATATTGGGATTTAATATTGCAGCTTAGCTACAGTGTTTAATACTCTTATTGTCCAGAATTCCCATTATAAGTAAAATAACATGAAAGATTGTCATTCTCTTTAGTCTAAATTTTATGCCAAATTGATTTCACTAAACAAGATAACACACGAATGAGGTAACTAAACCTCCCATTTCTGGTACTCCCTACACTAAATGCATTCCCAGGAATTTGCACATCAAATTCTTCAGAAGTAGTTTGCTATTTTGCTCCCACCATAAACTATAATGCCATAGAGATACCCAGTCCAACCAGTACTAAAACTCACAATCACAATTCCTTTAATGCTGGACTCTATGGGTTGTGTGCTTTATTCTGGAACCAATTAGAACAAATTCCTAGTTACCTGTTTCATATCTTGACTGTATACATCAATTTCAGGTAGGGGACTATGGGAAGAGTTCGACTAGAACAAAACTTCATATAGAAAATAGATACTGATTGTTATTAAGAGTTTCTTTTGAACTCTGTCTTCAGAGATTATTCCACTGGGTAATGTTGCCAATTTACCATGGAACTGGGAATTTTAGATCAGAAGAGCCAAGTTAGATATTTTTTCAAGTTCAGCTCTTTCGGCTGAAAATGTTCCATTGTCAATTCTCCCCAATTTACAGATAAGTGAATAAACCCAGTTTGCAGCTGATATTTTTATTTAAGCTATATGTGTTTAAGTATAGCACAGTCTTCTAACGTCTTTGGGGTTGTGCCTCATGACACAATGAACATTGGGAGGCATAAAAGGGTTGATCTTCTGGCAGATACAGAGCTTTATAGCGTGACTGTGGTTTTTGGAAACTCTCTGGAGGTTGATCTTTTTTGGTAGGAAGCACATTTTAGAGTATTCTTACTGAACGCTCATGCATACTTCCTGTGTATGATTTTGTACTTAAAGGGTTACTGCAACCATCATGACCACTTCTGCTTTTAGTATGTGCAGCATTTCTGCTTCAAAAATGTGCTCTTTTATTGGCTAGTTTATAGACTAGTTGCACCCCCAACATATGACTTTGGTGTGCAAAATGTACTTTTGTTATCAGGGATTTCCCTTGCAGGCAGTGCTCCTATCCTGATTTCAAGTGGAAGCCTAGCTCTCCCCTCCCTCCGTACACTCCCTTCCGCCTCCCTGCATTGCCTTTACTTTTGGAAGGGGTTTGTTTGTTGTTGTTGTTTTTTTTTTATCTCCTCGATCTCCGGTCTACCCCTTCCCTTCGTCCTCCCCTATCCAATTCAGAGTGTGAGAAATACATTGAGTCAAATACAAGCCATGGCCAATATCAGGATATCAATAGAGACTTACTATAAGCACTATCATCCCCATTGTACAGCGCTACAGAATCTGATGGCGCTATATAAATAATAAAATAATAATAATGAACAGTGGTTATAATTGGCTACTCTTTTTGAAAGATTTTACTATATGAGGATTTTTTCCAAATTATAGTGGGGTTTGTTTGTTGTTGTTGTTTTTTTATCTCCTCGATCTCCGGTCTACCCCTTCCCTTCGTCCTCCCCTATCCAATTCAGAGCTACAGAATCTGATGGCGCTATATAAATAATAAAATAATAATAATGAACAGTCCTTTAAGAATTGCCATCATCTATCGCCCCCCCGGTCACCCTAAACTATTCATTGAACACTTTTCCTCCTGGTTACCCCACTTTCTTTCCTCTAGCACTCCCTCTCTCATACTTGGGGACTTCAATATCCCTATCAACAAGCTCAATTGCCCTGATGCAAACCTGAACAGTGCTCAGATCACCTACAGCTGGAAGGAAAAGGCCTTATGCATGTCTGAGTTTCTGCAAGTCTGAGTACGAACACACCCTACTCCAAGAGTGCGCGTGACGTAGTTGTGGTGGTGAAAGGGTTAAAGCTCACTATTTGTCTGCACTAGACCGGAAATAATGACAAAATCCCCCTTTAAAACCACCCACACTTAAACATAATAATATAACTATTACTATTTTAACGCTGCCACCACCAAGACAATTTATAAAAGGGGTGCCTTGGTCCCCCAGGTAAATCAATAATAAAACCGACCAAATATTACTTAGTACAATATTTAAGTTATTGCAGAAATACTAACTAGTCTCTTCAGGTAACGTGATTCTTAACCAGACAAAGGCAAAACTTAATAAATGAATGTTTATTATGAGCAAAAGATAGTCACAGTGCATATAAAAATATATGATAAACAAATTATTTACACCAACAACAGATAAAAACAAAAAGGATAAAATACAGAAGTCCTAATTACTCACTTAGGTTTTCAAAGTACAACTTCTGTCCAGGGGTCTCTGGCAAGGAAAGATGATGGTGACTCACTCAAAATTAGATCTTGGCCCCAAGCAAGTACGCCAACACCCTTCAGGATCATTAGATATATACCCTGTGGTTTATCCCAGGGGTGGAGTTAAGGCGTACCTACAGAAATAATAACTGACCACCTCCTTTGTTCCAGACCGCTGTCAATCCAAATGGAAACATTTGACTCTATCTTCTTTTTTGTACCTGCCACAGAAATAATAATTGCATCTACAAATTTATTATTTTCCCATTCCATAGACATGTTGCACGTCCCACCCACGATCCAATAGGACGGACATCACAATTCCTTTCCCTAGGGTCAAGTTAGGCCACTCATGTTTGGACTTGGTTAGAAGATGGCGCTTGTCACATTCCAAATATAACAAAAATGAGGCTTAATTATTATTCTGTGGGGGTAAATATGAATGTTTTTGTCCTTCCTTTGGATATGATACTAGAACAAAGCTAATGGCATTTACATATCAAAGAGATTTACTCATCACTTACAAGGTACAGGCCAAATGGATGAAGAGACATTCAGACTTTTTCCAAGTGTAGACTTCACATCCATACAGTAAAATCCTTTTCACATTCCTATGCCATTCACACTACCCCTTCTGTCATCTGCCCTCTGTGGGGGTCCCAGCTTCAAAAGATGTAACCCCTGTTGACCTCAGCAATAGCATCTCTGTAATTTGTGCCATTTACTACAAGAAATCACATTAAAAAATGATATTCCATAGTGTCATAATAAATTATACACCCTTGCCGTGACACCTCCCCTAAATAAGAGACGCAATGGGAGAAGGCTCACATGCCTCTACCTTGTGTATCAACACTTGTTCCTTTTTGCCTCCACCTCATATACTCATCTTTTTCATAACTCTGATTCTACATGAATGGGGTAGCCCTCAAGTGTTCACACACCTCCCCCAAAAAGGCTTGCCCTTTGTCCCTAAGCCATATCACAGCCATATCCACAACACGCATGCCTGATTTGCCTGTTTTCATCTCCCACTGCGCTCTGATCACATCTCTCGGGCCACACCCACTGCGCCCGTGTAGTAGCTCTAAGGGGAAGAAACCAACCGATTTCTGCAGTACTCCCCTGTAAGCACACACAAGATGAGACAGAGGACACTCCCAGGGTACCTGCACTGTATCCACACTCCTTATCTGTTTTGTGGTCTGTCTGCTGGGCTCGTTGCACCTTTTTACTCTGAACCTTTGGTTCAGAATCAAAAAGTTGCTTAGAGACAGACGCCTTCTCCTGAGCTGGCTTGGGTGTATGTTGGAGGTGTGATTGTGATATGCTGACAAGGATGGTGGTTCCTGTAAGAATATTAAATAGTTAACTTGTTTATATGTATTTTATGCTTTTATAAGGTTTATAACATGATTATTGCTGACTGAAGGGATATTGAATACTTAAAGTCAATATGCTGACTGTGACAGACTAAGGTATTTCTTCTATAGGATGTAAGACAATGCTAAATTTCAGGATGTCTTGCCCATTCCGATTTTAAGGATATTCTTTTCCAGACGTATGCAAAAGCTTATCTTTCCATTGTCAGAATAACGTAATACAAGGAAGTAATAAATCTTATAGTCTGTACTGTATTTGCATATACCATGGCTAATGTAAGCAAACTATGTATAAAAGCCAGCTCTGGAATACACTCATTTGAGAGTCTTGTAAAGCTGTTGTCCGTGTGTTATTGCTTACAAATGATTCTCCATCAACATTGATTATGGTGACCGAGGGATCGAGAACCGAGGGGATTAGAGTCCATTACAACATTAACCCTTTCAGCTTGGTGTCTAGAAGTGGGATAGAAGTTGGATCAGCAAAACCATTTGCGGTGAGTAGCCTTTTTGTGTCTTATTTGACGCTGATTGTCTATGACCCCCCTTTGGTTCAGTAAGACTGTATCCAGTAGATAGGAAAGGTGTAAGGACTCTAGTTATATTGAGACTATAAGAGGTCTCCGGTTTATTAGACATTTGGTCTAAATATATATAGGGGTTCTTGGTAACCCAGGTTAGTATCTAAGATAGATACAGGTTTTTGAGACCATAAGAGGTCTCCGGTTTATTATAGGGTTTTGGTAACCCAGGTTAGTATCTAAGATAGATACAGGGTATCTCAGGTAGATACAGGTTTTTGAGACCATAAGAGTCTCCGGTTTATTAAGTCTATAGGTGTTCTGAGTAGCACGGTTTGTAGATCTATAAGTATAACCCAAACTTCTCTTTCTCCCGGTCACCTTTGTTTGTCTTAAGTGTTCTTTGTGGGTGATTGTTTGTCTATATTGGGGACACACTTTGGTAAGTTAGTAGTGTCCCCACTCTGAGTCAGCAGTATGGGAAATGTGAGTTCATGTCCTGAGTGACCAATATATGTATGTATATATGTGTATATGTATGTATATATGTGTGTGTATATGTATATGTGTATATATAAGATAGCAGTACTTTTAAACAAATGGAGGTTTTAAAAATACATAGGGATTAAGGAGAGAACGCAGGTAACTTGTTTTTCTTTGGTTTTTACCATATATTGGGGCTGATGTGTACTGTAGTCCTTGCTGCTGCCCAGTAGTGATGGGAGTGAGCGCAGGACTTATCTTTCTGCAAGATAGCAGTACTGTATATTAGAAAAGAAATGACTCATAGGTTGTACCTGATAGACCTACTTA